CGAATCTCAATTCCTCGGCCGCCCCAGGCACCTGATTTATAGAGTTTAGGGGTTTTAGGAGTTTAGCGGTTTTTAAGGGTTTAGGGTCTTTAGGGGTTTAGGGTTTAGGGTTTTAGGGTTTAGGAGCTCAGGGTTTAGGGTTTAGGGTTTAGGAGCTCAGGGTTTAGGGTTTCGGGTTTCCCCCCCAAAAAAAAAATAAAATAAAAACTCAGGGTGAGGCTTGGATTGCGGTTCATCTTCTCCCGGCTGCTTCGGATCATCTCGGCTCTCTCGCGCTCCTCGCGGCTGGCCTGCATCTTGTGCACCTTCTCCAAGGGCCGAAGGATTTGAGGGTCTTGGGGAGTTTGTGGGGCTTGGGGGTTTGGGGATTTTAGGGACTTTTTGATGGTTTTGGGGTTTCAGGGCTTTGGGATGGTTTCAGAGTCTTGGATCTTGGGCTTTGGGGTTGAGGAGGGCGGGTTTCGGCTTCGAATTTCGGGTTTGAGGGCTTGGGGGCTTCGGGCTTAGGGTGTAGGATTTGAGGGCTCTGTTTGGGCTTGGGGCTCAGGGTTAAGGCTTTTTTGGAATCAAAATTTAACCCTGGGTCTAGGCCTTCTCGGGTATCGTCTCCGTTGGAGCTGCTTCAAGACTTCCGCCGCAGCCCATGATTGCAGCGGACAGCTTGCCCTGAGACCCGAACGGCCCTAAACTGTACAGGGGCTGAGCTTGAGCCAGTGTTGTGTCAAGGCAGGTCGAGATGACGTGGGTTGACGTGCGACTTTAGCGTAAACACGGGCAAAGAGTCATGAAGCCCAAACCGCTCCATGTGCAAGCCTCAATGTTTCTGAAATGTCTCAGTCGTAGAAGTTGCATGCCAGTACAGTTGCACAGAAGTATTCAGCAACAAAGCCCTAGCTACTCAGACCCCTCTGAGACGCTGTCACACTTTGACCATACTTGGAAACCTTTCTAGCCCTTGAAAAGATCTCCAATAGGGAGGGCACGGCGGCTGTTTTGTTGATGGGAGGCACCAGACATCTCGGCTTGAAGCCTAGGACCCGCGTAAATCTCGAGATGCCCCTGTGTGACAGGAGCTAAGGCAGCTCATCAGCGACAGGGCATCCGACCATGTCAGACGGCTGAAAGGACCTTGAACTGGATAGGCGACCTCACACACAGGAGCTGCAAGAAGTTGCACATCGAAGGGGCGCAGAGCAGCAGTGCAAGGCTCTCGTAACAACGCACCATCTCAGACCCTGGCATCCGTGACGTGCGTCCATGGGGTGGAAGAGCTCCTGAAGAGGGCTCTTAAGAATTCGACTTTCCTGCGCAAGCGGAATCCAACACCCTCTCGCCTCTGCCTAAACCCTAAGCCCTAAAGTCTCTCAAACTCATCCATCCCTAGACTCACCGTCTCGCAGCTTCAATCCAAGAGGCGAGATGCACTCGGCCAGCAGCGGCTTTACCCATATCGTCATCGCCCTTCATGAGCTCCCATGCACCTGCAGATGGGTTCGGCGTAGCTTGGTTGCCTTGCTGGGGCGCTAAGAAAAAAACACAGCATGGAGGTCACTTGCACTGCTTCTTTGCAGGTTCGCCTAGAAGTACAAGCTGCAAGCCCGATCTTGGAAGTCCTTCAGGGGTACCTAAACCTGGGTTTAGGGTTTAAGAGTTAGAGTTTAAGTTACAAGTAAGTGATTACATGTTACGCCCGCCGCACCATGGCCCACTGGGCGAGGCGATCATCATTAGGCCCCCGCCCATGACTACACCCCTTTCTTGTGGTGTGTCTGACTGTTTGGGTATGGGCGATTGACCAAGGGCTTACCTGTAACCCAAACCCCACAAATGGTATATGATTAGCCAAAACAGCTTCCGTCCAATAAACCCTGAACCTTGAAAGCGGTAGGGCATCCCCAAGTAGCTCTTCTTGTTGTGATGGTCTGCGGCCCTTCACCCTTGAGTGTACGCTGCACTGACGTTTAAAAGGTAGAGTTTGTTTGTTGTTTAGGGTTCTCTGTTGTGCAGGGAGCTCAAACTCGCTGCCTTCGTGCTTCAAACTTTGAGGTTTCGGGTTATAGGCTTCAGGTAAACGATTGACAGCGGCGCGAGTTCGACACAATGTTGCGGGCTGGCTTGCGCCAAACGCCCCGTGGACCAGGAATGTTCAAGCCAGAAGGCGGCTGGGGCTTTAGGATTCAAGGCTTAAGCTTTACATGCTGCTGCAGCGAACCACCGCCTGTCAGGTAGGTCAAGTACTTCTTTTCAAGGTTTGAGCGGAGATATCCTTTTTGGCTTCACAGAGTGAGGACGTTAGCGGTTGGAGGAGCTGTCAAGATTCACAACCTGGACGTGTTTCGTCCGTCATGCACATCATTACTTCAGGCTGATCAGCATATCGTGCGATTCTCCAGGTCAACACGCAGAAACTGATTGTTACTGTAAGGGGCAAGGTATAGACTGCTGCCAAAGAGAAAGATGCCAATGCCATCACCACGATCGGGACTGTACGGAAGGTCAATAGTGTGCGACTCGACCTTGTCCAGATGTATTAACAGGAGTTTATCGCCCGTGCATGAAGGCATGACCATCGTTCTGCCCCAGACGACTGCCCCGCAGAAGCCCTGTTCCACGGGAATCACACCTACCATCTCCTCGGAGGCGGCACTAAGCACACAAATGAATGTGCTACCGGGCGTCGTGATTGGGCCTGCATACACATGTCCATCCAAGGCAACCGCGCCAAACGTGTGGGAATGGTCGTCATAAACAAGCTCACCATAACGGATCCACGTCGCTCTCCTCTCTATTCGATTGAAAGTAATCTCGCTGCCCAGGCGCACTACCAATATGAAGGGAGAAGCTCCGTGTCCTGTGGGAAACGCAAAGATCTTGTCCTGAACCACAATGGCGTAAGCCCAACCCTCCAGGCCAGCTTTCCATTGATCCGATGGAGTGGGAAATGGATGAGTTGTGAACGCCTTCGTGACCACGTTTATGCGGAGTACATGATCACCGTCTCTAGGCAACAAATACAAATCTTGGCCGTGCGCAGCGATGCAACTATAGGTTCCTGGTGGAAATCTTGAATGGTTGCCAAAGACTGCGGTGGTGTTTGATTTCATGTCCTGCAGTGGCAACTTCAACTAGTCATTGCAACTTCAAAGGTGCCGTGCAAAGAAGCCCGCTAACAGTCCAAAAACCCGCTGTCTGTTGTCCAAGTTGCGATTGTTAGCAGCCTTTGCGCTTCGGACAGCAGCACGTAGACCACATCATCAATGACAGCAGCTTTAGCAATGCCGAGTCCCCCATCTCCCACGCCCAAATCATGGAGTTCATCTTCATCAAGCTTTAGCCCCCACACCTCGTTTGAGGTCATGTCAATCACAGGCAGCTCCTTCTTACCGATTGCGAGGGGGTCCTGGACAGGTTCCCAGGTGCCCTGCGCAAGGAGACTCTGTCCACCGGCGATTTCGAGCCTGTCCGCAATGGTGGGTCGGCTGAGTAGGCGGGGAACTGCGACGGCGTGCTGCTCGGCAACAGTTTCATCCAACCCAACCAATCTGGAACCCACCTGTGCGAAAAACATGCGTGGATACGTAGAGTTCATGAAGCGAAACTTGTGGAATGGCTCTGGGCAGTTGCCAGGAGGGATGTCCAGACCGCCTTGACCGAAGCGCCAGGACTCGTTACAGTTGGGTGCTTCGCAAAAGCAGAGCTTGCGTGAGATACCCGAGGCATCTTCCGCACCAGCAGGGAGAATCACGTCGATATGCGTAGCCTTGACGTTCGACGTTAGGTTGTGAGGCCTGGCGATGTGCTGGGGCCAGGACGGAGGCCACTGCTTGGCATCCGGATCTCCGCACTCTGCTGAGGGAGGTACAGTGATGGCACCATCGTCCATGGATAGGTCCGTGCCTCTTAGACGGAGCCTCTTCCCTACAAGCCCTGGCACCAATCTGAGCCCTGGCACCTCTGTGTGGATTTTGCGGACTCTTTCGAATCCTTGTGGGTAGAAGCCGCAGAGGTCGCACGAAATCTCACCCAAAGACTGCAGGATTCCTGGACCGATCCGCGGATGCGAGTTGTTCACAAGCAGGCCAGGGGCTCCCCGCACCTTCCTCTCACGGGTGCTGTTGAAGAGCCGGAGGAGGTCTGCTGCCCCAGCTGGATGGGAGAAGGGAGGGAACTTGCTGAGGTAGGGGGCAGACAGGGGCAGCCCATCTGGCTTAAGACGGCAATGCTTAGGATCGATGCTGACTCCATAGACTGCGAGATCTTTGACCTGCTTCTCCACCCCGCGGCGGGCCTCCTCACCCCAGCTGAACATCTCGTCTTCAACTGACATGATCCAGTCGGCATACTTCTCTTTCTGCTTCGCGAGCTCTTCAGCAAATTGGGTCTTGTTAGCAGAATGTGGAAGGAAATTCAAGACTATACTTAAGTGTGGATATAGCTGTATTCCGAAGGACTTCCGAAGCTCTCTCAGCATCATGTTCCTGTCTGCCGTGCCACGCTGCCATGCAGCATTCATGACCCAGACTATATTGTCGATTCGACTCTGGCTCTGACTGAGAAGATTCCGCATCGTGCTGTTCCAGAGCTCAGCATCTTCGGCTTGCCCCCGCGTGTCTCCACGACCAGGGGTATCGATCCACTCAATCATCGGGGACATCTTTGGATCTTTAAACGGTAGACTCTGCACTCGTATCACTTCGCTCGTTTTGGAAGTGGTGCCGCTGCTCGGGGTGCATTTGTCAAGGTTGCCCGTCATCCACCGGCAAAGCTCCGACTTGCCGGTGCCAGTCAGCCCAACTGCCAGGAATGTCAGCTTACCCAGACTTGTCGAATAGTCCATGTCAGAAGTCTTCTCCTCATACGCCTGCCGCAGAATGTTGTCTCTCTTCTGCATTGCCACCTGAAGTTGCTTGCCAACTTCCTTGGACTCTGCTGAGTCAAAGTCCAGCATGCTATCGGCCCTGGCTTGAAGCGTCGAGATGCTTTCGGCAAGGATTTCCAATTCCTTTTTGATGTCAATGACGGACACATCTACGGAGTAGGTGATGGTCAGGTTCTCGCAGACTGTGGGCTCCTTGGGCTGCAACTTCATCAACAAGCTGAGATTTGATGACGTTGCCAGGTCGATTCCGGCGGTCAACCGATTGTCAGGCAAGGCCTGAACCTCTTCAATCCTGCACTCGTTCGATTTGGGATGGCACGACTGCGCCGAGGACTCCATCTTCATGAAAGCGCTGTCGAAGCTGACAGCCACCTGCACTCCAAGCCTAGTCATGTTTGCCGACTGGACGATGTCAGCTCTGTAGTGACGCAGTTGGACCTGGTACTCAGGAAAACGAACCTCAGAAATCGCGATAGCCGACAGCCAATATCAGAAGCTGTTCTTAACAAAACGGACTGAAACGTAAACTTGAAAGGCATATATGAGAAATGGCATGTTTGATCGCAGGGCTGTTCGAGACCTTCTATCACTAGTCATTCACCAGTTCACGCATCTCCGTTACTCTTGTTGCAGTGGGGGCACTTTCTGCGCAGGCTGCACCTGCGCCTTTAAGTGCGTCAAGGCCAGCACGGTGAAGTGATACGTGCGTGAACGTATCCCAAACAAAGTAAGGTTGCAGGTGCCAAACGCAGTAGGGTCGATAATGGCACTCAAAGTGACCTGAAGTTGGTCCGCAGAACGCACGCTCGCAATATGAGAAAAGGGGACAAGAAAACCTTTCATGGTGAAAAAAACTCTACCAAGTACAATAAGCATAATATGTATAATCAGTATAATAATAAGTATGATAATAAGTATAATAATAAGTATAATAATAAGTATAATAATAAGTAGAATAATAAGTGAACTGAACTGCCGCCCGGACCTGGTCAGAGTGTTCACGCGGTTCCAAATCCTCACAGGCGCCTTGAGGCCGGCAGAAGAGGAATCTTGAAGCTTGGCCAAGATCCAAGTCAAAATTCCTCAGGATGAACGGTATAGGGTTTAGGGTTTAGCGTTTTGGGTTTTGGGTTTAGGGTTTAGGGCCTAAAGGGTTTTGGGGTTGATCGCCATAGACACAAAACCTGACGGCGAAGGGCACACAAGCCTCCGCTCCCCAGCCTTTCTCAATCCCGCCAAATCACCATTTCGCTCTTCAATCACGCTTGCAGTCGCATGCGGTTTTCTTGCCAGACACCAACAAAACAACTCTCAAAAACCCGACGGCCCGCCACCTCCTTAACGTTTAAGTCCGTTTAAGCGTGTCCTCCAAGACGATCTCGGCCCGCCCGTCATCGCCCGTCCCCCTCCAATGCAGAAACTCAACAGCCATCGGGGCCTGAAGTCCCCTGCAACCTTCCCAAAGCGGACAGCAGACCGAACGGCCTGAAATGTAACAGCGACAGCCCAAGGTCAGCGATCACAAAAAGGAAAGCTCTGCGCCTCAGCCCGGGCTCAATGTTAGGCTTGCTTTCCAGTCCTCCTCCAGGCGAATGTAGTGACGATCCATCTTCGGCTCAAAGTCAGGCATCCAACCGCCGACCACGTCAACGTGAACGAGCTTAGGAACTTGCGACAGGCAGTAACCTGAGTAAGCGTCCGAGCGCACATCGAACCCGGAAGAAACCCCGGCCGGCGACATGACATAGTACCCTAATGGCCCAGTCTTGGTGGGAGGGTAAACGGTCACCCTCCAAAGGCGCGAAAATGATCCCTTTCAGCATCTGGCCAACATCCTTGCTAAAGACCTGCTAGCTGGCCAAAATATTCAGTTGTCCGACCTGGGTGACTCAAAGACCTGCACTGGTGGCCATGTCTTGGTGAGAGGGACCCACAGAGTGCCAAGGAGCATACCATTACAGCAGGAACCATGGACCCCAGCAGAGTGAAGAATGTCAGCAGGCAGCCATGTACGAAGCAAAGCCACCGGCGCCCGGGGAAGACCTGAAGCATTAAGCTTCGCCTGTGGCGCAGCAGAAGCTCGTCCTCGTCGTTCAGCTTGCAGCGCCAGCGGTCTGACCAGGAGCTTCCCTCCTGGTGATCTGCTAAGACAGACAGTCCCACATTATACATCGGCTTTCATTTTTGCACCTTGCTGGTGCCGGATGCTACTCCCAAGTCAACCCACAAACCCTACAAAGGAAAGACTTGCGAATCTATGTTGCAACTTCGACTCAGCAACTTCTGGCAACTCGGGCATGGAGACCCGTCGCGGGGCTCTGACTACTACCTATACAATAATAAACTCCTGACCTGATGAAACGCTCGGCTGACACTTTGCAAGGATTCTTGCTGAAACTCTGACTTCGCGATGTTTGGTTTCACCATCATTTCAGCCCCTGCCACCGTGACGCGCTTGTTAACTGTTACCCCCAGTCCTGGGGTGACGTGAGGCCAGTCTCTTGGAGGAATTCCACAACCGTCAGCTCTCGTGATGCAGACTGGGTAATAGGTTTGAGCTCATCCCAAACCTGTCAACGGGACAAGAGTAGTTACCTCGATTTGGGTTCTTCCATGGCTTTTGGGTTCCTATCCAAGGTTCGGGCCTTCGCTCCAAATAGTTCTACTCCCCGTCTCAACCGCCAACAGCCTGAAGCCTCGAACCAAACCACAATAATCAAGTCTCAAGGTTGGCCTTAAGATTGTGAAACCACACACCCCGACTAACTTCAAGTCAAGGAGTTTCAGCCATAAGCCCTAAACTACACCCCTGAACCCTTTAACCTCTTGTTTGGGGCGCCTCCCAGTCCATGAGAGCGATACTCCTGAACCCTACACCCTGCACCTAGAGCCTGAAGCCGAAACCCTAAACACCCCAAAGAACGGGCCTCCCAGTCCATGAGACCGATACTCTTGAATTGAGAGTTGGCCCAAAGGAGGATGCCCACATTCGCGCCCAGCCATCCAGCCAACTTCCTTTCGGGAAGCCGGAGGCAAGGGCCACTCTTCGTCAGTGGTTGTTCTGGTGGTTTAGGGTTCAGGCTTTTGGCTTAGAGGAGCTTTATTGGGATGGCTTTAAGGGTCTATAGGGTTTAGCATTGAAAGAAAGTATAGGGCCATAACCACAGCACTGCCTCCACAGACGAAACTCTGTTGCAGACGAGTTTCAGTGGCTTGTCGGACAAGCTGAAGACCAGCACCGGCACGGAAACAGCAATCAGGAGAATGCAAAGCTTGCCAACTTGCGTGGCAAACATGTGGGAAATGCAGGTGAACCTGATTTTGATCTGCCTCTTGATCGCTGCCTTCACGAGCACGGAGCGAATGTGAGCAGCCAGACCAGCAGAGACCAGCAGCTCCGTGCTCGCGGCCACGACGCAGAAGCAGGCGACCAGAGGTGGCCCAACCTGCGGAATTTCGGGTCTAGGGTTTAGGGTTTAGGGTATAAGGTCATTTACGTTTCAGGGTGTTGAAAGCTGCCCAACCTGTTCACCGGCCAGAACCCACTTGGTGGCCAACAGTCCTTGTGAAAGGCTGCCTCCTATCCTTGGCACAACATATTGCGCACTTTTTCCAGCAGAGAAAAGCAACACAGATCGCGCTCTTTTGTAATAGCATCCAGTCAAGCATCTGGAGTAGGACGTTCACCGCTGCGAAAACGAGAAACCTGTGCTCCAAGAACTCGCGCTTGCTTTGGTTTTTTCGGAAATATTTTCATGACAGGGCCACACAGCCTGCTTCGGCAAGAGACTGCTGAACTCCGTTACTTAATCCCAATGTTGGCCGAGCAGCTGAAACTTAGCGGATGCACCCGCTGTCTCAGGAATGGATGTGGATCGAGTCGCGCGGGCTGCGTCGAACACAGTCAGGATCACGCGGAATAGCACACTGACCAAAGACCTCAATCACGAAGGGGTTTAGGCTTCTTGCAGTTTAGGGCTGGCAGGCAGGTTGACAGTATCAACTGTTTTGCAGGGTCAGCGGATGAAGTGCCGGTGAAAAACACGGTGAAGACACATATGCAGAGGCCAGACACAAATTTCAGCGAAACAGGTGTGCAAAGTCAGCAAGTCAGGCGACGCAGCCAACATGCTGTACAGGATCTGATCGCTGGAAATGTTGGACCAGGGCTCCGAAGACTGCGACACATGCGCTGTAGGCGGTGTGGCGGCTGGCGCGGTGGTCAGCAGCGGTGTTTGGGGTCGCACCATGGTTCGCAATTCACGAACTCAGGAAGTGAAACAGACGAAGAGGGCCGTGGCAGTTTTACAGAGTTTCACAGACATCGGGATCGCTCGCTCACAGCACCTTGAACATCGCATGAGCATGGCCAGGTGGAGATCTTGGAGTTCAAATGTGCCGCTACAATACCGCAGACCCAAAACTAAACACCAAACCCTCAACCCTAAACCCTAGACCCTGGACTTTAGACCCTAAACCCCAAACCATGAACCCTAAACTCTAAACCAGTCCTAAACCTAAACCTTAAACCCTGAAGCCTAAACCCGAAAACCTATAAAGGCGTGGGGGTTGCGCAGTCTAGCCGTCAACACCCACTTCAACCAACCACCTCTGTGCAGAACCGGTAAGCCAAGCACAGCACCAGGCAACCAGAGAGACTGTCCGATACTCTTGAACCCGACCATTCGAGGTCAAGGCACGAAACTTTTGTAAAGGACAAACCAGGCAAGATAACCTCCCAGAAGATTAGCGAAGGTTGAATGCTCGCTTCTCCGCACCTGCAAAGCGCTGCCTTCGACGATTTCCAGGATGGGACTCCGGCCTTGAGGCTTGCTGTCTTCTTAGCTGGGAAGGAATAGGCCTAAGCCTCTAAAAGGGTAGTTCTCCAGGGTATAGGGTTTAGGGTTTAGGGTATCAGGTACCATGTAACTAATTCTACTACCATTCCTTCGTTCCCTACTAACCAAGAGTAAGGAGAAGGAACACTAAGGTCCAAACTGTTCTACAGGGAAAACCGCCTCACCGCAATGAAGGACTGTTCTCCTTTAGCAACACAGTTGTGATTGACATGCCTATGTTCTTGGCAGCAGAGCTTCTTCAATTTCTAGATCTCTGGTTGAACTTCCAAAGATCAGCTTACTAAGGGTTACGTTATACATATTCCAAATATTTTTATTACCTAGGCAGGCTTCGGAGGACGTGTAATACCATAAAGGATTTCGGAATATGCTGCACGAAGAAGCCTGTGTGGCATCGCAGACCCAATTTTTGTTGCTATGCTCGGAAAACATTGTTGAGCCATTTCGTTTCCACTATTGCAAATACATGTATACACAACAAGATTCAAGGTTTTGTTCATTATCTGTTCAAAGAATGACAGTACCGTCCACAAAAACCGAGAACAGTTCGGCAAACGACGACGAAAATGCCCGTCATCATGCTGGGGACCATCACCTTGGGCTAGACTACCTACACATCTTTCTTACTTACGGTCAGTAAGGCCTGCGCACGCCTGGACAGGCCTGGGATTGGCAACTTCCCAGTGTTTTAGCAACAATTTGAAAAATTACAGTCTATATCCAATCTGACTCCTGTCACGGCTTCGGCCGAAATCTGAGGCTGCTTCGGATGAGGGTTGCTTCGGAATGAAGAACAGACGATGCACTTCGAAGCCTAGTATCCTGAAAGCGAAAATCTAGCAGGACTGTAGCAACGGTATACAGAACGACGCAGCAACACTCATCACCACAAAGCCTCATGGCAAGACGAAAATCACCGTCATAATCCTACTTCTGGCTACCATTTTGGAACTACCCTAAGCCGTAGCCTCAAGCCGTGAACTGTCCGCCAAAGCCGTAGAGCTCTCGTCCTTGTACTTCCGACAGCACCAAAAAAACCTCCAACAACCTCCCACAACCGGCCCAACACGAAAGTCTCTAAACAAACTGAGGCGCCAGAAGCAGGAGCGCCCAGTTGTCGTTGTCCTGGAGCCGTTCCTCACCTTGCTGGCTAAGGGTACACCAAGGCTGTAAAGGTACCTTCAATAGACAAAGGTCTTGCCCAACCCCTACGCGAAACCAACCAACTAACCAACCGGATCCCTTTCGAACCCGATGACATCCTAGAATTAGAACAAGTCGTGTAAAACCGAGGCAAGCCGGTAGACCTTTCAAAAAACCACTGCCACCACTACACCCAGCCCTGCGCCACACCACCCGGGCCACCCCGCAAGCCCCTACACCCGACCGCGTGGTAACCCCACCCGAGTCACGTGCTGTGTAAACCCTATCGTTCAGGCAAGTCACTCAGACCCAGCTGCCCAACGGTCTCGGCGATGAGTGCTTGCGATTCCGCAACCACGCCTTGAAGCGGTTATAGGATGTTATAGGCTATAGTTATAAGGGTTTACGGGTTTATAGGGCTTTGGGGGTTTTGGGCGTTTGGCGTTTCGGGCGTTGGGGCAGGCGTCGACGAGGGTTTTAGTTCGCTGTTTGTGGGAGTCTAAGGCTTGCCTTTAGGGATTTCTGGGTCTAGAGTAGTTTCTGTCTGGTTTCGGTAAGGGGTTCTGGGGCTTCAGTCAAGGATTTTGTTCGGTCCACAGGAGGTTCGCTTGTTGTTGCTGGAGGGCTGGCTCTAAAGGTTCAGCTGTCTGCTTTTGCTTACAAAAGCGTGCCCGCCGAGCGGCTGGTGAGTGGAATTAAGACATGTAAACTAATACGTAAAAATCAGACTACTCCGCGCAAACTACATCTTCAGCTCCCGGACCCACTCTGAAGCCGCACCTTTCGCGATGAGCGGAAGCCCTGTCCCAGAACTGTTGCTTTTCCTGGCAGACTTTGAAGATGATGGTTTAGGCTCAGAGGGTTTAGGGTTTAGGGTTAAGGTTTAGGATCAACGTGCAACATTTCGGGGTTTTCGGACAAATGGGAAAGCCGGTGTGCAACAAGGGGCTTAACCCTAAACCCGAGGCTTGAGCTTCATGCTGAAAGTCGGATCGCTTGTCTTGGGAGGGGGAAATTGTCATGCATGGAAGTGCTTCCGAAAGACCTGCACCAAGTGCCGCTTATCTTCGTAATAGCAGGACGGCAATTACAGCAACCTCCATGTGGCTTGAGAAAATCACCACAGCATGGCCATGGCATGGAGGCGAACAGGTTCGACGTATGTATTCCAGAGCAACTGAGGAGAACCATCTCTGATATCCGAACCCATACAGTTCAGGTGTTAAGGCAAGGTCTGAAGTTCAAAGTCTAATGCCCGTGAAACCACAGTTTTTCATGGGAATTTTGAAAACTTATGAAATCTCCATGAAAGTTGAAAAAAAATATGCGCAAGCCACTGTTAAGAATGGTATATTCGGTGGTCTAGGCTGGGGTATAGTTGGCTGAACACTCGAACGGATCGTTTTGCAGGCAGGACGTTGGAGCCGGAATTCGACACTCTAAACACAAGACACAAGGAGTCCGAAACAAAGTGCATTCCAAAAATTTTTGATTGTCTAACCCCTCATGTCATGTTCATGTGCTTTTGGAGCTCCCATGTGAAGCTCCTACAAAAGGGTGGCCTTCTAACGGAAAGGAGAACACCGCCACCACTCCACAGGGGGAGGGCGAGGAACACCCACAACAACGAAGAACACCAACCAGACCACACTAAGGGCAGGAGGGGGGTGTGCTGCGTGGGAGCACACCACAGCGGGGAGGGGGAAACCCCACAGAAAGACACCCACGGACCACAAGGGGGTGCGGGGACTAGCTTTCTAGAAAAAAAAAACTGTCTGCCCTCTCCTCCCTCTCCCCCTCTCCCCCTCTCCCCCCCTCTCTCCCCTCTCTCCCCCTCTCTCCCCCTC